AGTGGAAGGAGCTGCCCCAGGACTGCCCGGGGTTTCGGAGCCAGCCCAGGCAGCGACGGACGGCCACGAGCCAAGGGAGGGCGCGTGGGCAGGGAGCGCCTAAGAAGGAGCTGAGGCTTCTGGATGGACATGCCTGCGGAACACTGAACGGCTCTCTAGGCCGTACGAAGGCCTGCCCTGATCTTGCTCCAAAGTCACGGCCCTAATCGGGCATCTAAAAGGCAGTGAAACCATCTCCACCCAAATTAAAGATGTGAAGTCACCACAAGCACATGTCCTGGTAAACACGTGTAGCAGAGTGCCTAAGACAGACTTTTAAACTTAAGATTGAAGTTTAATTATGGGGGAAAGCTATTCAAAGATAAAAACTAGATGCTAGAAACATGGAGCCTGAGGCAGAGTCTTTGTAGTTAAGGGACTGCCAGGCAGGGCTGTGATCTGGACGTTCAGCTTGCTGTATCTCACCCCTCACTTCTCCCCAAGAAGAGAAAACAAAAAAATCTACCTCATAAAGTGCTCTTCCGGTTTTCTGTTAGTCAGCAGTTTCTGGCCTTCCCTAGACTCAAGATGAAGTCAGAAATGACATTACCATGGAGCAGTGATGGGACCCACCCCGTGAAGCCGGGCACGTGGCTGGTTTTGAATGTGTTGCTCCACTGTGAGCAGAGCTCCACCCCAACGCTTGGACTGCTAACCCAGGAACACGTTTAGCTCTCGGGACGGAGTGTTCTCTTTTTCTCTCTCTCTTGACCTTTGGAAATACCACACGTACTAGTAGGCACAGCCCTGTTCTCCCATCTGAGTGTGTATGAGTGTGTGTGTGTGTGTGTGTGTGTGTGCGTGTGAGATATCTGTGCTCTATGTGACTGTGCCTCTCTATTGTAAACATAAGATTTTCTTGCAGGAAGGGAATCATTGATGTAAGATGATTGAACATATAGATTAAGAAAACATGATGTTAAAAATAGCCCTTAAATGTCTTACTAAGACACAAAGCTTTTAAACCTGGCCCATCCAGTAGCATACTTATGTATGACTATAGATTGGCAACACAGCGTCGGTGTTGACTCATAATAATTCAAAAACAGTTGAGGGGAATATATGAAAGGGCAGAGGGCAAGGTTTTTACTGGATGAACAGAGGCTTGGAAAGGTCATGAGAGCATGCTATTGAGTTATTTCCTTCTTCAGCTGTGAGTCACCCTGGCCTGTCCCCGGCCAGCTGTGTAGCAGTAATGTGCACAGGCTGAGAACACAGGCCTTGGGCTCCGAGGGGATTTCTGACTCATCGATGTCACTTTTCAGTGCCCTGAATGGCTTCCACAGGTTCAGACGCCTCCTTCTGTCCCAAGTGCACCTACACTGCTCTGAGGGTGTGGCTGCCCTAGGGATGGTGCCTGTTCCAGGGATCCAGGCCTCTCTGGCTTTTGCGAAAGTCCCTTTCCTGGCCTCCCCTGGTCAACCCCGCTTTACAACTGCCGTGCTCTCCGAGACGTTTCCTCCAGTGGGAGCCAGCAAGGGTGGTCTAGAAGATTTCTGCATCTCATAGCTGGTGCATTGTCCCTCTTCAAAGACAAAACTTAAAATTGAAGATGGCGTTTGAAGCCCCGAGTAGCTCCTGTGTGTCACAAGTGGGAGGGACAGCATCACTTTGCCTCTTAAAATCAGGAGATGGGAAAATAAATGATAAGAAAATTAAACAAAGAGATGTCTTTATGTCAGGTTCCCTAAGTAATAAACCCAAGATTGCCATTGAGGATGACCTGAGAAGGTTAAATACCAGCTCCCGGGTGTCTGTGTGGAAGACATTCACTGATTTGCCCAGAGTGGATGTTATTGTCCCATCTCTTCTGATCGCTCAGGGTCAGTGCTCTACTGGGAGCTCAGTGTTTTTAACACCGACTCTGGCTCACAGAACAGCTCTGGGAAGGTAGTTAGTGCTAGATAAATGTTACAGTTGTGATCATTATCACACCACTTTAATTTCAAGGACTAGGGTAGTTTAAAAACCTTGTGAGCCATTTGTAAGGAACCATGGTCAATAGGACAAAGGCCTTTCATTTGCATACTTTATAAAGAGACAAATTCTAAAAATGAAAGTGTTTCTGCTGAAGTATTAATGTGAAGTCATTGTAAATAGTGAACAGTAAGTTTTTAGAATAATTTATTTTATAAAAATAGATCTGCTTTGACTTGGGCTCGTCAGCAAATAACCTTCACACACAAACACACACACACACACACACACACACACACACACACGTGCTCGTCTTACAGATGAAGCAGTTGATTGATTGAAAGATTTCCCAATCCAGCCTCGACGAAATGCCAGGAAAGGGAGCAGCTGGTTACACTTCCCAAGGTAGCTGGCCCTATTTTACCACAGTCCTTTCCTCTCTTGGACAATTGCTTCATTTTAGGCCTCCCAAAGAAATTATAACGGGCATCTAGAATGAATAGGCACTTGTCAGACGAAGAAATAGAAACAACAAATAAATATATGAAAAAATATTCACTATCACTGGCCATCTGATGCAAATGAAAACAATGCTGAGATTAAATCTCATGCCAGAGAGAATGGCTGCTATCAAGAAATCAACCAATAACAAATGCTGGAGGGATTGTGGAGAAAAAGGAGCCCTTCTGCACTGTTGGTGGGTGTGCAGACTGGTGCATCCACTGTGGAAATCAGTGTGGAGATTCCTCAGAAACCTAAAACTAGAGGTTCCATTTGACCCAGCTATTCCCCCTGCTGGGTGTCTTACCAAAAGAATTAAAAGCATCATACTGAGGCGATATATGCACACCCATGTTTATAGCAGCAGTTTGTAATATCTAAATTTTGGGAGCAACCCAAATGTCCATCAACCAATGAACAGATAAAGAAGATGTGGGGTTTTGCTTTTGACACCGTGGAGTTAAAGATAAACTTGAGGCATTTACAGCTAAGTGGGGCCGAGGATTTAGCTCAGTGATTCCACCACCTGCCTCACAAGCACACAGTCCCAAGTTCAATCCCCAGTACCAAAAAAAAAAAGAACTAGAGCATATAGCTAAGTGGGTGCACCTTGAGACCATACTCTAATGTGAAACAAATCAGACACACATAGGTAAATACTACATTGTTTCTGTGGTGTTTGAAGCTGAAAGTATAAATGGCCAAAATGAATAATAGAGAATAGGAAATAGGAAAAAAATGTTCAAAGGTGAAGAGGAACTAGGGAGGTAGGGTGGGGGAAAGGAAGGAAGAGAAAGAAACAATGAGAAAAGACAAAAAGAATAGAAACAAACTTTTGTAAATAAGAAGCGATAGAAGGGTGGAAGGGGCGGGGGGGAATGGGACAAAATAAGAACCCAGATACGTCGTGCACAGGTGCGAATTCCCGTGATGAGTGGGATCATGTAGCAATAACAATGTGAAGATGTAACGGTAAACTTAACTAATATAAAGACCTGAAATTGAGAGACCCTTTTCCATGCTTTTGTTTTTGGTCTATGAGCATCTTTCCAGATTGTGTTCTTGTATATAGCAAAAAAAAAAAAAAAAAAAAAAAACTTTAAAAAAAAAAAAAAAAAAAAAAAAAAGCTTCGTTTCCATCTCTTTTTTCTTGTGTGACCTCTTTAGTTCTAAGTGTTCATCACCCGGTACTTCCCATTAATTGTACCAAAAGCTGCTGTTTCAGGGAGATCTTTAAAGTAGGAAACCATTTGATAAAAGTGACATACCTTTTTCATGAAAGGTTTTAAAGGGAGGTGAAGCTCTGCATTTCGCAGGCATGGTAACCTAGGTTTGGGGCTTTCTCCTTCTCCCAAGGTGCCTCATGGTGAGGTGACTTTGAGGATAATATCACTTGACTCCACCGAGACTCGTTCAGTCTGGAAAAATTAAGTTCAGCTATCGCTCTGCGGCCCTTTCGAAGTCTTGGTTCCATCTTGGACCATCCAAAGCGGATGGAGGTGAGGCATGGAATTTGGGGTAAAATGAACCCTCCACTCCATGTAGCTCTCTTCCCCACTGAACCAGCTCACGACAGCACCCTTGGAGAAAAGAAAGCGACGTGACAATTATCTTCATTACTTTTCTCATTGCTGAGACAAAATACCTGACACAAGTTCAAGGAGGAAAGGTTTATTTCAGCTCACAGTTTATAGATGTTTCTGTTCATGGTTTTCTGGCCCCAAGGCAGAGGGGCATCGCAGAGGGGAAACAGTTCATGGTGTGGGAGGCAGCAAGCAGCAGCAGCAGCAGGAGTGAGCCTGCCTGCCTTCTTTCTGTCCTTTTATCTTCTGTCCAGGCTACGAGCCTATCGATTTGTGCTTCGTTATCCACACCCTTAATCCCCTATCACATCCCTAATCACATTCACACACCCTAAACCCAGCCACCTCTGAAATGCCTCTCCTCTGACCTCATAAGGCTTTGGGCGGATGTGGGAGCCTTGACCAGATGTGTGTATGAGATGGATATGCAGAGTTAGGGGCTTCTAGAGCCACAAGCCTAAAGCTTCAGGAGTGCATGGTTAGAGATTAAAGAGAGCCCATGGGGCCACACGTCACAGCAGTGTCAGAAATGCATCGCCCTAGAGTGAAAGCTCTGTCCTCCTCATATCCTGTCACTTAAATTAGTCCCAGAGACAGCCACTCAACAGACGGACCTCATCAGCCCTGTCCTTCCCTTGTCACCTACAGGAGTCCCTGCCTAGATGCCATTCTTTTTTCTTTGATCCTTGCTTCCTGGTTTGATGGATAAAAAGCTGCAGCATCTTTAGGTCAGCTGCCCTTCCAGACTTTCTCATGCTGAGGGGTCTCGCTTAATGGAAGCCCCTCGGGCCCCCTTGGTGTGTGGATTGACACTGAGTAATCTTTCACCCTTTTGCACTGTGCTATGGTCATAGTTGATTGTGAACTGTGATGGGATATCTAAATTCAAGCCATAACAACAGTTGTTCCAGGATAAGCTTTTATCAAACCGCTAAATATCTGGGCTTCTTCCTTCTTCAGATGGGTGAGTCACATGATGACATAGACCAAATGTTCAGCACTCTGCTGGGAGAGATGGATCTTCTAACCCAGGTAAGCTGCCCTCCTTAGCCTGCAAACGAGGGCAAAAAATGGAATGCTAGCATTTGATTTTAATACAACAGGAATCCTATCTTTTATAAAAACTGAAGACTGAATATTAATATTGCATCTTCCTGATGTAACTGGGACAATTGAGAGGGGAAAAGGTTGTTTCTGATTCTCTCCTTCTGAATTCAGTTAATTTAACATGTTGGTCCCACCCGCATTCTGTCTCTTTGTTTATATACCTGCATTCTCTCTTGATGATGCTGTCGCTCATTGTGTCCAGTAGAATTTTCACCAGGAGCAAGCCTCTGCAGCCCCACTACTGAGCATTTTTCCCTTTTAAAGACCAGCTGATAAAAATATCATCTTCTTTTCTAAAGAATTTGGGGGGCCAGGGATTTAGCTCAGTGGTGTCACTGCCTGCCTCACAAGCGCAAGGTCCCAAGTTCAGTCCCTGGTACCAAAACCAGAATTTTTCATCAACCTTCGAGGGAAGGCCACATTTTGCAGGACGAAGTGGCATTAGCATGGCCTCCTGAGTGGACGCAGCCCTCTCACAGGAATGTGAAAGCCACACAGCCGTAGACTGCGTAGACCCCACTGTGGCCGCAGACCCCTGGCCACTGCCCCAGGGTACAAAATCCAGGGAGCTTTTATGTTTTATAATGTTCTCAAAAACATTTATTTGGTTCAGAGTGTACCCATCTCATCGCTTTCTGCACAAAATTTCAAAATAAGAATAGCCTAAAACCGTGTTCCTAAGTAAGATGAGGATCTTGAGTTTTCTACAAAGTAAATGAAGAATCGATGTTTAAGAAGATGAGAGACTCTTTGAGGAAAGGGTGCCTGCTTAAAGCGACGAGTGTTAAGATGGTGACTAATTATGTGGATGAGGGCTTTCTTCTCCGTCCCAGAGAGGAGCGAGTTGGTTGTGTGCGTTGGCTGTCTGTCTCTGCACCTCACGCACTTCTCCAGCCAGTGGCAGAAGTGACTGTCCTAACTGGTCAGGGCTGGGACATTCCTGGATGCACAGCTGAGTATTGTCACTGTAACTCAAGAGCGGGGAAGAGGAGCCTGTGCGTCTCCAACCTGTCTCCACAAGATGGCGGCTTTGCTTGTCCTTTCTTGTGTGCAAGTGCTGGAAAGTTCTGAGGTTTGCTTGGCTAATGGCGCTCTCCCGAAAGGTAGGTTCCAAAGTTGCAGGGTGTGGAGAAGGCCCTCCCTTGTCCCCATGTCTGTCTGTTCTTCCATTTGACCACTATCAATTGCTTTTGTGGTTACTGAGTATTTTTCCAGCCATTTGAAAATCTGCTGTTTTCATCTGCATTTGTGAATTCTGCACCTACTCAGTTCCTTAAAACTAGGTAATGATTGTGAGAAGCAAATAAAGCTCGGGTCTCCCTCACTTCCCAAAATAAGCAAAAATTAAAGGGAACTAATGCATTACATGTGATTGCAACTTTTTTCTTTTGAAATAATTTTAAACTTACAGGAAAACTGAAAGAATAATACAAAGATTCCATGTTTAATTTTTTTCCCAGAATTCTCAGTGATTAACATTTAGTTCATTGGCATTATTATTCTCTCTTTCTCGAGTTACTTATATATCCTGATAAAGGTAATTAATATCTCCTGAATAAAACAGCATTTTAAAATAAATGAAAAAACTTATTATTTAATAAATTGTCTTGAGATAACATGTGTGGAATCAAAAACTACACTACTACCTCACAGCCTACATCTTAATGAGTTCCATGAATCAAAAAACCTAAATACTGCATGTGAAATACAAGGAGGAAAAAATGTAGGCTCATTCTTAATTATGAAATATTTCAAAACATAAAATATTTTTATTTCTCCATTGCAAAGAGTAAATAATTATAAGAACAGAATAGTATCAAAAATAAACAAAGCAAAGCTTCAGGGTTGGTAACGTGGTTTAGTGGTAGAGCCCTTGCCTCCATGTGAAGCCTGCAGCTGAGTTTGATCCCAGGTACCACCAAAAACTGTCTCCATTGGGCACCATTGGAAATTCAAAACTGAGCATCGACTTACTGCCATGGAAAATTAATGAAGAGGAAAAAGGAAGCGTTTATTTTAATTTCCCTTTAGTCCTGGTCAAAGTGTATTTCAGAATAAATAATTGATGAAAGCTCTGTGTAGAAGAAGTCCAGTTGATACATTGAAAATAAAGGAAAACTTAGAAAATCAAAATAATCCAAGAACTAATGAAATGTGTTTCAAATATGGGGCTTTTAACAAGGTTCGTACTAAGCAGTGGTGTCAAACTTCAGTCATTCACCGTCATGGTGTTGGCCTTACCTACAACCCACCCATCATATTATCTTCTAAACGTTTGTCTTTGAGTTCTTAAAAATTAAACCTTACATAGAACAGGTTTGATGTTCTAATTTAACTTTTTCCTAACAAGCATTCAAACAGATACACAGTAATATGCATATTTAATGCCTGTGTTTTGTATACCACATAAAATCATTTCATAGGCCACACAAGATATATAGTGAGAAACATTGCTTACTTTACTTCATCTTGAGCTTTGAATAATTTTTCTACAATTAAAGGACCTGCTTTATAAAATCAGCTTGTTCTTTCTTTTCTCTTTCCCTCAGTTTACTAAAATCCTGATTTATCACAAATTTAGACATTCATATTTTGTTAAAGTACAATTTCACTGAATAGCAGAGTGAATTATATTACTGAAAAAATGGATTCACTACATAACTGTGGTGTGAACTTCTTAGTTATATTAAAAACAAAGTCAGGCGTGGTGGCACACACCTGTAATCCCAGCACTTGGGAGGCTGAGGCAGGAGGATCGCTGTGACTTCGAGACCAGCCTGGGCTACATAGTGAGTTCCAGCAGGTTAGTCTCAACTATACAGTTAGACCCTGTCTCAAAAAAAAAAATTTTTCAGTGAATGCAGCTCTCTTTCTGTTTTCTTTCACTAAATGTTTTGTTCTGGTATTTGCCTCAGAGCATGTCCATTAAGTTTCCATTTCCTAGGCAATTTTTGCATTTTTATTCTGTGGTTAAAAATGAATTTTAAGGTTGTCACTTTTCCCTACATTTCATCTTTGGTTCTAACTTGATTGGGCTGATTTTTCTAACCTCTTGATGAATCGTCATTTTTTCTGCTTAAAATTGATCATATTTTATTTATTTTTAAATGTACAGTGGTTTCCACCAGAATTTTTTAAAATGCAGAAGAATATTATTTACCAAATCAAATTAATATCAGTGGGTACATTCATAGTTATAAAACATTTATGTATGAGAATAGGTGAAGATCACTTTTCACATTATCGACATAAAAATATTCTTGGAAATTAATTTGTAAAAGAAATATGACTTTTAAGTCATATAAGAAGTCTCTTAGTTCCAAGTAAAACAATACTTATAACAATATTTACAAAATCGATCATTTATTCTCTTTGCTGAGAATTAAACCAAAGCTTCATGCGAGCTAGAAAAGTGTTCTACTGCTGAGCTGTATCCCTAGTGCCGTGATTTCTTTTTCACAAACATATCACTAGTAAACATAACAGCATAAAATTTTACTGTACAATGGCAAATTAAATCCTGAACACCTTTTCTCCTCCAGGTCCTAGGCGTTTCTTTCTTTGCCGCCATTACCTAAGTCCTGTTACAATGACAGTGTGTGTGTTCGTCATTACGAGAAATGTTTCTCTCTTCTAAGTTATCTCTTTCTCACCACTCTCAGTGGACACGGTCCATTTCATGATGTGCCTTTCAGAATACTTTCTTAATATGTAATTTTCTGTAGGGAAAAAAGAACATGAAGCATTTTCAACTAAGAACTCAGTCTTTAAAGATCATATCTAGAGAGAAAATGTGTAAAGAATGAGTGGTTTCTGACTTGCTGATTCAGCTGTGCTGCAGAAATGTGGCATCACGAATAATTTTGGGGGCTGGGATCTATTTTCGCAGAGTTTGGGAGTGGACACTCTTCCTCCTCCTGCTCCTGAGCCTCCCAGGGCTGAATTTAACTACACTGTGGGCTTTAAAGACTTAAATGGTGAGTGTAGCAATTTCTTCTCTTAACTACTTTGAATTCGTACTAGTGCCTGAAATCTGGATCACAAGTATAGTTTGAATTCCAGGGTAAAGAGACTTGGACACCATCGTAAATACTAGGTCCTGTGTTTTGTGCCTTGTTGTATCTGGATTGAAGGAAAATAATTAATTCAATTTTTTGCATGTATGAAAGAAAATTCTTCCTACATTTATAAAAAGTCTCAAAACAATCTCATATTTTGAAGTAAAGGGAGTTTCTTCTTAAACTAATGAGTGGTATAAATAAATATTAATAAGGAACTGTTCCTTGAAGATAAAAAGTCTCCATTATGATTAAGAATGTGTGTATGGATATTTCACATATAAAATGTTTTATTTAAAATATGGTCTGTTTTAATTTATATGTTATATATACTTACATATAATTTGCTCTATTTGACATTTTTTCCATGCTCCAGGCCTGAGCTTGACTCCTTCTGTCACTAAAAAAATTTTTTCTTCTTATTTAGTGCAGAAGCCATCTTTAGCTCACATGATATTCAAATTACAATAAACCTTCAGTAATTACTTCCAAATTAATGAACTTTCACTGGAACTCTTAAAAAAGATGCACCAAAGATTTGCTTGCAGTACCTACAAAAGTGTAAAATAAAACAATGTGAGAGAGAAGCCTAATTACAGAAATCCAGAGTTCCAACTTGTATTTCTTTCCCTCACCTGAGTTTCTCTCTTTCTATCATTTTCAGTAATTTTTAGTTTTTTGATAAACCATTAAGCATCAGTGACTGTATCCTGGTAAATTGTAGTACGGTTCTTCTGATTTTCGTTTTTCTATACTCTCTTCTATCTGACATATAAACATATTATTATTACCAGTCATCTGCTCAGTTTCAAAAAGGTGACATCTCTTGTAACACTGTGACAGCGAAAGTTAAATTCTGCTCCCCGTCCTCCCACGCCACACACCTCACCCCACCTGTAGGTTGCTGGGTGCCATATCGAAAAGTCTGGTTACAAAATAATTGGCATTTCAGTACAGCCATAGTCAGGTCATCCAGTGTTTCCTGAGCAATAACAATGCCTTGTATCCAAAAAAAAAAAAACAAAAACAAAAAGGAAACCTTTTGCTCTGAGGAGACAAGATCCACAGACGTCCTGATCTGGAGGTGAGACCAGACCGATACAGTGTGCTGAAGTATTCAGAAAAATAAATTTTTTGACAATTAACATAGGAAATACATTTTTTACTATCTTCATTTTAAAACATTGCTAAAATGAGTTAAAAATACTTTGCCCAAAGTTGGAGAATTAATGACAGACTTAAGAATTGAATCCATTTTGATCTCATGCCCCAGTTCTGTATTATTCAATTCTGTATTAATAAATGTGATGAATCTCTGTCATTTCATCTATATTAATATATTTAGGTTTCTTTGCTAGCATATTAATAAGTAATATAATTTGACATATCAACTTGTCTGAAAATTGTTAATACAAGTGCTATTGTGGAAATTTTGTCAGTACCATATGTATAATGGATTAGCAGGTTTTTATGTTAACAGTCAAAAATGTGATTGTGTTAGGAAATTATGAACAGGCATTTTTAGTCTTATGTAACTTCTCTGAAGATATTTTAAGTTAATTTAAATGTATGTTAGAAACAAGTTATATATGTATGATTGTCTGTGTTGTATGACTAATGATCCAAACCTATGAGGACTGCACCCCAGAGCCGCTACTCCTGGTGTGGACGATGTGCGGTGATAACTGTTTCCCAGAGCGTTCACTTGGTGCTCAGTATCCTTTATTTCTGCTGTGGCCCTTTTCTCACCCCGGCCCACCCTGCACAGAGCAGCTGGAATTGTCTTCCTTGAGGGTCCCGGCTCCTGCCTTTCCTGTCTTTGTTGCACCATGCACACGACCCCCAGTACGCCAGGCTGGAGGGTCCTGCTGGGGTCTTCTGACCCAGTCTCACGCTTGGAAGACATCGAAGGCGAACTGACTTCCCTTGCTTTCACTTTGAAAATCCATGTCTGCCCTTTACTCAAAATCTCACCATTCACTGCCTTCCTAAAGTTTTCGCCACTTAATCCCGTTTAAAAGTTGCTTTTATTCCTTAACACCTTACTGCTTTGTTATTCTTTATCATTAACTGATCTTTCCTTGAATGTGAGATTCCCGAAGGTGGGCAGAGAGCCTGTGGAAGCTCCGTCTTCACCCTGGTCCTAAATTGTATTAAATCCAGTTGATTGAAATCAGCTTTCTTCCAAATACTTTTATCAGCAAAACTCTGCACTCCGAATGCATGGGAAGAACTCACCTGGCACCCTTTCCAGTATCCACTCCTTCTTTTCTAAAACCTTGAGATATTGCACTAAAATGTTCAAGAATTCCCACTTGGGCACCTATGCATGTGCATAGACGACTTCATAGCTGATTTCTCAGGTGCCTCCATGTAGAACACAGCTTCTTTTCTTAGAAAGTCACTCTCACAAAGCACGCGATAAATTCAGCAATAATCATCTCAGAAATTTCTATACGGGTGTGTGCTGCTGGGTAAAATATTTTCAACTTTTCTCATTGTGTCACCAAAATCAAAATGATTTCCTTCTACACCAGATGATTCCTGTAAACATTGTCCTCTTTTAGTTCTTTGCAGATACAAATAGTTTCGTATTACTGGTGTGGTTTTCTCCGTCAGAGTCCCTGAATGCACTGGAGGACCAGGATTTAGACGCCCTCATGGCCGATCTGGTGGCAGACATCAGTGAAGCGGAGCAGCGGACAATCCAGGCGCAGAGAGAGTCCTGCCAGAGTCAAAATCACGCATCATCCCTGGGGGCCTCAGACTGCGGCGGTGTCACCTCTGTGGGTTATGCAGCAAATGTCACTGCAGTCGGCATCAGCCCATACGAGGATGACTTACCGCCCCCACCAGATGACCCCATGTTAGACCTTCCACCGCCTCCACCCCCTCCGGAACCTCTCTCCAAGGTCAGTGCTCGGGGCCAGAGACGGTAGAAACACCAGCCTCTGCCACCACCATCCGTAACCTTTCACAGGGCCATGACGTGTATCCGTTTGGATGCCCCAACCTCCGAGATGCTAAACACAAGGATGCCCAGGATGACCACTGCAGTGCCAGAGCCCTCCATAGACAAGAAGCCCATGTGTCATATTAGTCTGTTTTCTGGTGGTGAGACAGCAAATGTGCCTAACAAAACCATGTGCGCGATGATCCGTAATCTTTAAATGGGCTAAGCCATTCATCAGGGCCGGGGCCCAGATATCTCTGAAAGGTCCTGCCGGTCCTGCCTTTGATACCACGCAATGGAAGTTAAATTTCAACATGGCTTCTGGTGAGCACAGACCATAGCAGGTATAGAAAGCACATATCAAGGCTGTATTTGGTGTTTATCACAGCTTAGTTTAAAAGGATGTTCATATATATACATTCTGATTAGCCAGCCTTTGGGCAAAATATTTTATTATTATTAAATATTTTATTCATTATTTTGGATGAACTCAAGAGCTAATACATATATTTCTGTGTCCATGCTTGTAGCCAGTACATAGATAATAAAAGATATTCACTGCAGGGCCGGGGATTTAGCTCAGTGGTACTACCACCTGCCTCACAAGCACAAGGTTCTGGGTTCGATCCCAGGTAGCCCCCTAAAAGGATATTCATTGCATATTTCCTGAATTGAACTTGGTTGAACATTGATGACTTTGGCATCTCGACTGTTCAAGAGAGCAAAAGGACATCTAAATATCACTCCTAATGTCAGAGTTAGGAAGGTGATAAAGCAGGTATGTCATGAGTGCTTGATATTAATAAAACAAATCAAGTGGTCTTTGGAGAAACAAACAGATAGAACTTCATATTGCTGTCATGTGGGGCATTGATTCATACTGTGTCTCTTGTAAAAGTAAAAGAGCACTTTTGAGGGTCTTGCTTAGAGTGAGCCCCTTCAAGATATTTTAGAGTAAGAGCCCCGTGCAGCCTCCTGTGGCTTCCACGTTCAAAGTACTAAGTGATAATAATCAGTGTTCACACCACTGCCCCTCGTCACCTTAGAAATTCCTTCAGTGTCCCTTGAATGAACAACTTTTAAATATAAATCAAATAATCAAACTTTGTCATACTCATTGCTGTGCTCTGCCCTTATTATGGAAAAATTATGTGAAAATTTCTAATCAGTGTAGAGCAAAGTCTTTTAAAATGGGACCCATGAAGAGTTCAAGGAGGACATGAGTTCCTTGAAAATAAATACAGATGTGAAGCTTTATAGAACTCCTCACTTTCAACATATTCTTTAAGAGGCTTGTGGCTCAAAAAAAAAAAAAATGAAGAACCCCTGGTTTAAGGGACATGCCTACTTTCTAGAATTAGAGTGCAACCAGGACAGCTCATCTTTTCCTCATCCTAAAATAAGACACCTTAATAATCCTGTCCTCAGAAAATTAAGTTAGAAAAATTGAAGGAACTTGGGCTCATAAAATCCTTCCCTCTTTTTTCTGACTGGTCATAGCTGTTCATCAGTGCTTTTTTTTTTTTTTTTTTTTTTTTTTTTTTTTTATTTTTTGGTGATTTTTAAGTTTGAGTTTGAGTCCAAGTCTTAACTTCAGGGAGTTAAGGACCTCCTAAGAATCCCCGCAGAAGGCGTTGTAATCCAGGCAGCATATGATTTTAGGAAGTGTCCGAATGCACCGAGATGGGTCCTCTTCCCCTCCTTAAGCTGGTGCCCTCCTTTGTGAGGCAGCAGAGACACCTGTCACGGTCACCGTTTCGTCTTGTCAGTCACAAGTCCCAGGACAGGAAAGCTTGCTGCTTTCTGTACCTCTGGGTTAGAGATTGTGGCTATAGCCATCTAAATTCTCAAACTCAAACGTGAAACCGAACGTCCGTAAAGTAACTGAAACACTACCAACGGGAGCGATTACTCGCTGGAATTACTTGCTGGACTGTGCTGACTTTCTTTACAGGAAGAAGAAGAAGCCCAAGCCAAGGCTGATAAGATTAAGCTAGCACTGGAGAAGCTGAAGGAGGCCAAGGTGAAGAAGGTAAAAGCTATGACTCACTTCAGCACAGGAGAAGTTCAGTTAAGGATATCTTAGTATAATTAATGACAAAATTAATGTTTCAAGTGGTACTTCTCAGTTGGTTTTTTAATTCTAAAGGTGAAGATAAATTATTCTCTTCTGTAGCAAAAGATGGCTCATTTATGAGCAACGAATAAGGGACCTACGTTAGTATAAAAATGGAAGTTTCCACTGGGTGTGGTGGCGCACGCCTGTAATCACGCACTCAGGAGGCTGAAGCAGGAGGATCGCTGAGAGTTTGAGACCAGCCTGGGCTACACAGTGAGTTCCAGGTCAGTTTCAACTACATAGTGAGACCCTGTCTCAAAAAAAAAAAAAAATGGAAGTTTCCTTAATTTCTGCATGAGCTTTTCTTGGCTTCTTGGGTTTTTCTGGGAGCTGGAATAATGGGAGTAGAACTCACAATCCACCTGCTCCGCCTCCTGTATGCTGGAATTATAGGCATGTGCTGACATACCTGGTCTTGGAATTTTTTTAATTTTTATTTTATTAATACATATTTACTGCACATAATAATTACATTCATCATAAGGAGTTGGTGCATATATTTAACACGTCTTAATATTTTTTCATCCCCTAGAATTTACTTTTTTTTTTTTTTTTACTGGGAATCGAACTCAGGTCCTTGCGCTTGTGAGGCAGGCGGCAGCACTACTAAGCTAAATCCCCAGCCCTAGAATTTATATTTAACAAGAAAGGACATGCGGGTGTGGTGGTGCACGCCTGTAATCCCAGCACTTGGTAGGTCTGGTGTGAGTTCGAGACCAGCCTGGGCTGCGTAGTGAGTTGCAGGTCAGTCGCAACTACATAGTGAGACCCTGTCTCAAAAAGCCAAAAAGAAAGGACAGGGCCACTGGTTTGGCTGCCACACAGCAGGGGCAGGGCCTTTTCAGATCTATTTTGAGAAACTTCAAAGCAAATCTGTGTCATGGGGCTTCCCTCCCTGAACTGCACTCTCCGGGACTCTGTGCACTTTCTGGGCTTACATTTCCATAATTCGCTCCTGTACGTTTTCCACACCCCCGGGGCAGCCTTCAGCGCTGCTTCCTGCCCCCGACTGTCCAGTCATCTCCTGCGAGCCAAAGCTCTCTGCTGGCGCTCTGGTTTCTAAGTTGCGTAGATTTTGAGTGACCCTCCTCTACCCCTACCTCCCCAATAATCCTGTGATTTCAGTGCACACTTTCAGAGTGCAAAGGATTTCCGGGAACAGGTGTATTATTACAAAACAGCTATGAGCTAACCTCATTAGGGGTCTATACCTAATAATGCAATGTCAGTGTAGAACCAGTCTTCATCTTATTTCAACTCCTAAAGCACCTCCCATCGATGAGCCTCATGAAGAGCTCTCGACTTGTAGAACGACAGTTGTCCTTTTCGTGTGGGGACTTACACTTCACAACCCTGCCGCACCTGTCACAGCTCTTGGAATGACGTGTCTCGTACATGTGGGTTGGTCAGTAACTACTCCTTGATGATCCCTTGGTGCAGACTTTCAAGGTTCACCTTGAGGGTCTTTTCCCGATCAGTCTGGTTCCATTCATTCCAAACATATGTGAACTGCTTTTCCATTATTTTGCCCTGTTCACTGGATAACTGACCTACAGGAGGAAAGGTTTATTTTGGATCACGGTTTCAGAGGTGTATGGCCCTGCTGCCTTGGGCCTGTGGTGACACAGCACGTCCTGGCAGGAGCATGGGGCAGAGGGGACTGGCTCATTTCATGGCGACTGGAAAGAAAAAGCAAAAGAGAGGAAGATGCCAGGGTTCCGTGTCCCCTCCAGGGTGTGCCGCCCACCCCCCACTTCCGCTGAGTCCTGCCTCCTGAGGGCTCCACCACCTTCTAATAGCTCCACCGGCGGAACCAACCTTCCAGCATGCAGGCTTTTGGGGGAAGCACCTCTCCAAACCACAGCAGATGGAATCTCGTGGTCATTGGTTGGAATTATACGTCCTCATCGGCCTTGGCCTTCTCCCAGACCTGGCCCGCATCCAGCCTCCTCCCCTGACTCAGCCCTGGGCCCTCGGTCCTGCCCGAGCTTCCCTGGACCGCTCACTCCTGTCAGTCTGGAAAACCATTCTGACCGTGTCTCGTGAAATCTGCAGTGCCACTACCCTCTCCTGCAGTTGCTCAGCTCATGATTTTGCTGCCAGTTGCACTGTGAAAATAGAAGCAACTGAGCCGGGCATGGTGGCGCACGCCTGTAATCCCAGCACTCGGGAGGCTGAGGCAGGAGGATCGCTGTGAGTTGGAGAACAGCGTGGGCTACACAGTGAGTTCCAGGTCAGTCTGAACTACATGGTGAGACCTTGTCTCACAAAAGAAACAATAGAAGCAACTGAGCCGGGCATGGTGGCGCACGCCTGTAATCCCAGCACTCGGGAGGCTGAGGCAGGAGGATCGCTGTGAGGTGGAGAACAGCGTGGGCTACACAGTGAGTTCCAGGTCCGTCTGAACTACATGGTGAGACCTTGTCTCACAAAAGAAACAATAGAAGCAACTGAGCCGGGCATGGTGGCGCACGCCTGTAATCCCAGCACTCGGGAGGCTGAGGCAGGAGGATCGCTGTGAGGTGGAGAACAGCGTGGGCTACACAGTGAGTTCCAGGTCCGTCTGAACTACATGGTGAGACCTTGTCTCACAAAAGAAACAATAGAAGCAACTGAGCCGGGCATGGTGGCGCACGCCTGTAATCCCAGCACTCGGGAGGCTGAGGCAGGAGGATCGCTGTGAGGTGGAGAACAGCGTGGGCTACACAGTGAGTTCCAGGTCCGTCTGAACTACATGGTGAGACCTTGTCTCACAAAAGAAACAATAGAAGCAACTGAGCCGGGCATGGTGGCGCACGCCTGTAATCCCAGCACTCGGGAGGCTGAGGCAGGAGGATCGCTGTGAGGTGGAGAACAGCGTGGGCTACACAGTGAGTTCCAGGTCCGTCTGAACTACATGGTGAGACCTTGTCTCACAAAAGAAACAATAGAAGCAACTGAGCCGGGCATGGTGGCGCACGCCTGTAATCCCAGCACTCGGGAGGCTGAGGCAGGAGGATCGCTGTGAGGTGGAGAACAGCGTGGGCTACACAGTGAGTTCCAGGTCCGTCTGAACTACATGGTGAGACCTTGTCTCACAAAAGAAACAATAGAAGCAACTGAGCCGGGCATGGTGGCGCACGCCTGTAATCCCAGCACTCGGGAGGCTGAGGCAGGAGGATCGCTGTGAGGTGGAGAACAGCGTGGGCTACACAGTGAGTTCCAGGTCCGTCTGAACTACATGGTGAGACCTTGTCTCACAAAAGAAACAATAGAAGCAACTGAGCCGGGCATGGTGGCGCACGCCTGTAATCCCAGCACTCGGGAGGCTGAGGCAGGAGGATCGCTGTGAGGTGGAGAACAGCGTGGGCTACACAGTGAGTTCCAGGTCCGTCTGAACTACATGGTGAGACCTTGTCTCACAAAAGAAACAATAGAAGCAACTGAGCCGGGCATGGTGGCGCACGCCTGTAATCCCAGCACTCGGGAGGCTGAGGCAGGAGGATCGCTGTGAGGTGGAGAACAGCGTGGGCTACACAGTGAGTTCCAGGTCCGTCTGAACTACATGGTGAGACCTTGTCTCACAAAAGAAACAATAGAAGCAACTGAGCCGGGCATGGTGGCGCACGCCTGTAATCCCAGCACTCGGGAGGCTGAGGCAGGAGGATCGCTGTGAGGTGGAGAACAGCGTGGGCTACACAGTGAGTTCCAGGTCCGTCTGAACTACATGGTGAGACCTTGTCTCACAAAAGAAACAATAGAAGCAACTGAGCCGGGCATGGTGGCGCACGCCTGTAATCCCAGCACTCGGGAGGCTGAGGCAGGAGGATCGCTGTGAGGTGGAGAACAGCGTGGGCTACACAGTGAGTTCCAGGTCCGTCTGAACTACATGGTGAGACCTTGTCTCACAAAAGAAACAATAGAAGCAACTGAGCCGGGCATGGTGGCGCACGCCTGTAATCCCAGCACTCGGGAGGCTGAGGCAGGAGGATCGCTGTGAGGTGGAGAACAGCGTGGGCTACACAGTGAGTTCCAGGTCCGTCTGAACTACATGGTGAGACCTTGTCTCACAAAAGAAACAATAGAAGCAACTGAGCCGGGCATGGTGGCGCACGCCTGTAATCCCAGCACTCGGGAGGCTGAGGCAGGAGGATCGCTGTGAGGTGGAGAACAGCGTGGGCTACACAGTGAGTTCCAGGTCCGTCTGAACTACATGGTGAGACCTTGTCTCACAAAAGAAACAATAGAAGCAACTGAGCCGGGCATGGTGGCGCACGCCTGTAATCCCAGCACTCGGGAGGCTGAGGCAGGAGGATCGCTGTGAGGTGGAGAACAGCGTGGGCTACACAGTGAGTTCCAGGTCCGTCTGAACTACATGGTGAGACCTTGTCTCACAAAAGAAACAATAGAAGCAACTGAGCCGGGCATGGTGGCGCACGCCTGTAATCCCAGCACTCGGGAGGCTGAGGCAGGAGGATCGCTGTGAGTTGGAGAACAGCGTGGGCTACACAGTGAGTTCCAGGTCAGTCTGAACTACATGGTGAGACCTTGTCTCAAAAAAGAAACAATAGAAGCAACTGAAGAAAAGCTCATGCAGACATGTTACCCTCCTGCGTGGGTGCAGTACACCCCGTGGTCTTTCCTGTGTCGAGGGATGAGCTGTTGTGGTGCTCTCTGAGACCAGCCAATCCCAGTGCCCACTTTCCATCGTCTCCTTGTCTTCCCCAAGGACTGCTGCCCTGCAGTGAAGCCGCAGCCCTCGTGGTGGCCTCGCCTCTCACAGACGCCTCATCCCGCTCCGTAGCCGCCTGTCCCCACCCTGCCTGCCAGGCCCTTCCTGTGGGCGCCCCGCCTCTTCCTCGGAGTCCAGGAGGCTCCCTGCTCTTCCTAAGTACTCCGGGCCCCTTCTCCTCCCTTGCTCCTCACACCCATCCTGCGCTTCTGATCGACTTTTCTCCTCGGTGCCTGTCGCACTCCACCATGCTGTCTGTTCACCTGTCTCCTTCCCCACCTCCCCAGAAGCTCCTCCTGGAAAGCCGCCAGTCCGACGAGCAGGTCAGGTGGAGCAGTTCCCTGTGCTGAGCTCCGCTCTAACAAGGGAGAGCAGAAGGCACGCAGCAAGTGGCCCCGTCAGCGTGGCGGCGGTAGAGACCGTGTGGCCCGTGTGCCGTGAGCCACTGAGAAAAGCAAAGGGAGGAGTGCGGTCAGGGAGGGGGCACAGATCTCACCGCGGAGGAGGGTCCGGGTCCTGTCCTCGGCTGAGCGCTTTGCCAGGGCCGTCAAGGCTGATGCGTGGGTTTTGAGGATGACCCTGGCCGATTCCTGGAAAATCCCAGCTGGATGCAGAATCTCGGCGGCACAAACCCGACATGCAGGTGCGCGCGTGGACTTGGGTCTCTCAGGAGACAGGTGGTGCTGGGCAGTGCAGAGCCGCTGGCTTTCCCGGAGGAGACAGAGACGACAGAGGCAGACACGGAAGTCACAGACTGTTTCAGCCGCTGGGTTATTATAAACGAGGGCCACATCACATACATTTTCAGGAAAGAAATAAAAAGGGAAGTTGTTTCATACATGGAGGCAGAACAAGCAGCAGATGCAGTCAGCTCGCACCAGCTGGCCCATCAGAGAACAGGATGATAACAGCTATTTCCTGTTATCTGTCAGAAAGCAAGAACTTCGCAGCATTTAGTGTAGATGAATCATAACAGTGAGCACAGAGCGCAGTCTGCTGTGATGCAGTGAGGAAGATGTAAAACAGAAGCCACTGTGATCAGTGGGAAAGGAAGGGAAATTCCCAAAGTGAGTTACGTGTCCTGACCTTGCACACTCCAAGTATGCTTTTTTAGACAACAGCCTGTCTGTGGCATGGAACATTAAGAAAGTAAGGCTCAGACCTTAAGAAAGGACCTGTGAGGTTCTCGCACGTAATCTACAGCACGCTTTTAAAGACACAGAATCAAGTCCATGTGAAGTACTTTGCCTTCGAGGGTGTCACGGAGTGCTGGACGTTGTGAATTACGAGTCACGTGCGGCACCGGTGCGGCAAAGCTTTTTAATTAGAAGCAAAATCACATCCGTGCGTTCATTCATCCCATCGATCCGTTTGTTCTAAAGTTCTGTGGCACAGGAGACAATTCCTGTCGTTAAGCTTATAGAAGCCAAAAGCGGCCGGTACATGACTTAGGGCCAGGGTACATTTGCATGTTACAGCTTGCAAATGAAAAATCTTTTTAAATGTACAATGATAAAAATGTTTACTATAATGGATTAGACGGATGAGGGTCCTTGAATTATTTTCCTTGAATTATTTAATCCCCATACAATATCATGTCTCTGTGGAAAACACTTAGCCTGCTAAATTGCATAACAAAACTGCAATTTAATTCTGTTCTATCCCGGATAGAGCCGCTTTTCAACTTACAAATGTGAGGGGAGCTAGGAGGAACCGTAAATATGATTTCTTGTTAAAAGTCACCAGCGTCGTCTTGGTTTTTGTGTTGTCTAAATTCTATAATCGTGGTTGTTCATGAGTACATGTGGATTAAATCTAGTTTGTGAGTTCTGCCAAAAATTTCTTCTATCATTGTGAAATAATGTGGCCTATTATTTCATCTCTTTAAAAATAAAAGAAAACATATGTTTTATGCTCTTAAGAATTCCAAGCAGGAACAAAATACGGCCAAACATCATTAATTGTTTTCACCACGAAGATTGTTTTCTAAGCCCTGACCCTGGTGGCATTTCCTAGGACATGCAGCTAATTCACAGCTGTGACTCTCAGCAGAGAGCAGACCCCTTTCCCAGGAACATTAATCTGGACAAATACTGCCATTCAAGGAATTCCGGCTTCGAGCAGCTTTCCCGTGTGTTCTGAGGTTGGATGGACGCACCTTCGACCCCGTGATAGTTGGGCCAGTCCTTTAAAATATATCAGATAAACTCACTAAAAAAAAGAGAAGAAATACATCAAAAGGCAAAGGCAAATGGAAGAGGAAGTGTTCCGACTGCAGTTTTCTGGGCTGCAGGTTCTCCGGGGAGAGGAGCATTTATGAGGCAGAGGTGGGAGCGGGGTCTGACTGGTGGGTCCCTGGGTTGGGAGCGGAGGGCTGGGTGAGGCTTCCATTTGTGGTCTTTGCCTGCTTCTTGCAGAGGTTTTCCTTCGCTAGCTGTCAGTAGCTCTGCATAGCGATCCACAGGAAAGCACTGCTCAGTCTGTGGGCTTCAGGGCCGCCAAGAGCTTCTCAGGACCTAACCCAGACTTGTGGAGAGGAAGCAAGTCAATGACTGCAGTAGATCGCTGTGCAAGACAAGTCGCACTGGAAAGCAGCCGGGACCAACACTCCGCCCTAATGCCAAAATGCATGGCACCAGTGAAAATGCGAGCTGTGGCTGCGCTGTCTGTGAATAGTTTTGCTATGCAGCCTCAGAACCGTGGGCTCTGGGTGAGATCAGAAGTTTTATTAACTGTAACGCTCTGCCCAGAAGGCCGGCGGTGCTCTGGGCCTTGCTGAAGAGGAGTAAATTCTGCTCCGGATTTGATAACTGTCCGTTTGATTCCGAATTCATTCCTTGGGTCTTTTAATGGAGTAAAACGTTTGCCTGCGTGGCTCCAGAGCAGCGCGGCTCTCAGTCCATGTACTTTTCCTTAAATCCCCCTCCGGCTGACGCTGCTCTTCTGTCCCCATCAGCCTGGACTGGGAGGCCCCTCTGCAGGCTGTGCTGTGTCACAGCACACTCTGAGAAGCTTCTGGGTCTTTCCTGGCATCTTCACTCTCTTTGGCTACATGAAATAAACCCCAGCCCCGCTAAGCAAGAGTTGTTATGAAGACCTCGGAGGGGCTTTCGGTTTAGAAATGTGATGGCCTCCAGCCTGGGGTGAGGACGAGCAGCAGAAGGGTGTTGGGAAAGCGAGAAGTCAGGCTTCGTGGCTCAGTTTTCTGTGTCCCCCACCAGAATGCGGTCTCTGAGGGCAGGGCGAGGGCTTTGCTTATTGTTTGTTTTCTGTGAGTCGCTTTCTCCTGCTCTTTTCTCCCAGAACACAGGTGGGTGCCATATAAGTACGTGACGATGGGTGCACAGGGCACATTCTCGCTTGCACTGCAGAAACAGTACCAAAGTGGAGGCCCTAGTGGCCTCCTGCAGCTGCTGAAACTCACTAGCTCCTCTGTGGCTCTGCCCTCAGCTCGTGGTCAAGGTGCACATGAACGATAACAGCACAAAGTCACTGATGGTGGATGAGCGACAGCTGGCCCGAGATGTCCTGGACAATCTTTTTGAGAAAACTCACTGTGACTGCAGTGTGGACTGGTGTCTTTATGAAATTTACCCAGAGCTACAGATCGGTGAGTCCCTGCCAGCAGCGGGCTGCACTCCAGAAGCCCGTGGGTTTGCTTTGCTGCAGGCTTTGGCCTGTTCCGTGTTCTCAAGATATCCCTGTGTCACGGCCCTGGGTAGGGGAGTACTTGTCTCTGCATTTCTGTGTGACAGACACACTCAGCTTGTAGCAAGTGGCTGGACCTTCTGGGATATGAGCATATCATTGCTGAAAAGTGGCAAGACTCTTCTTCCTGTCTGCCCAGTAAGCGGAGCAGCTGCGGGGAGGGCACAGGTGTCTGTCGGCTGATGTCCCTTTAGAGATTGCCTGCTCACAGTGGAGGGCGACTGTCCCAGGCCTCCGAGCTGTGCTTAGCTCCCTTTCTCCCTGTCCACTTGCCTGATCCTGGACACTTCGTCTAGTGGGAAAGGCTGTGTCCCAGAAAGCAAAGCCAGTGATAGACATTTATGTAGACTTTTGGTTTGGTTTTTTGCAGTATTGGGGATTGAGCCGAGGGCACTCATAGTGAGCAGCATCGCCCTCCCCCCTTTAGTATTATTATTTTCGAGACAGAGTCTCACTGAGTCACTCTCTTACCCAGGCTGAGCTCAAGCTTGTGATTCTCCTGAATCAACGCCCCAGTGCTACGATTACAGGGTGTGCCCCCACACCTCACTGGAGTTTTTTCTTTTCTTTTTTAAAACAATTTAAGAAGTTCCCTTTCAGTTTTCATTCTTAATAGCACTCCCAGGACCACTGTCTCCCAGGAGCCTGAGTGGAACCCAAAATCAACTGCCTTAGAAGCCTGGGGGACATTTTCTTTTTCTGCAAGAAATAGTCTACACTAAAACAGCCGCACCGCTCGAAGTTTTCTTCTGTTCTAGGAATCAAGGAGAGAAAGGAGAGCCTTTCTTTATGTGTTTAAGTTTGACTCAGATATTCACACATTGTAGAGCTTTAAGGTGAGCTGCTCTACAGAACAAATGGCGAGTCTCTAATTTCAATCACTGTGTAAGCAGTCGTTGCTGTATTTTCCTCCTCACAGGAGAATATTTGCCAATGGGCTATTTAAAAATGCTACCTTTTTTTTTTAAGCATGTAGCAAACCATTGTATTACAGGTTCTGCCCGTCACCTAGAATGTTTGGGGTTTTTTGGAAGGTAAATTGAAAACCTGACACCAAAAGATGAATATAACAGGGACACTGCAGCGTGACGTCATGTAGGAATTAAGAGTTTTAGAAACGTCGAGGAAAATTGTAAAGCACTGGGGGTGTTTAACTCAACAAAAGCTTGTTTCTCAGTTGGGAACCCTAATGTCTTAGGTCTGAAAGAATATTTTTTTCTTACTTCATCAGAGAGGTTTTTTGAAGACCATGAAAATGTTGTGGAAGTCTTATCAGACTGGACAAGAGACACAGAAAATAAAGTACTGTTTTTGGAGAAAGAAGAAAAATACGCTGTGTTTAAAAACCCCCAGGTAAGAGGAGCCGTGTGTTGTTGAACCGTGTCCTCTGTGAAGGGCTTTTTAATGTCGCTTGGGTACTGACCATGCCACCACCTCAGAGCACCACGCTGTGTTCCTTCCACGTGAGCACAAACTCAGCCCCATGGGAACGAAGAGCACTTGGAGATGCAAGGATTCAGAAAGAAAATATCCATTTGTTTCTTTGCATTAGGAACCCAAAATCTGTCTGTCTGTTGCTGTCTGAGCTTCCTCTTCTGTCCATTTCTGTTGAGCCCAACTAACTGTACCCTGCCTCAGGGCCCTGCTGGTTGTCAATGTTTCATCTTTTAAAGGTGCTGTTTTCTTTGTTGTTCGTATTTTGTATTTATCAATGCTGAAAGCACCTGAAAGTGTGGGGGGGGGTGTGGGGGGGTGTGGTCTTGGAGACTGAATCCAGGGCCTCACCCATGTTGTGCAGGTGCTCTACCAGTGAGCTGCACTCCTAGCCGTGTTTGTTTTATTTTGCCCAGGCTGGCCTCAAACTTGTGATCCTCCTGCCTCAGTCTCCTATGTTGCTGGCATTACGGGCATTCACCAGCATGTGCGGCTTGGAAAATATACAATTTATTGTAATTTTGTACTACAAACAATCCACACAAGTGAAAGGTTGTTCTCCATATTTGAAGATGTTTCCCTCAAGTTAAATGTACAAGGATCATCTAGACATCTTTCCATTTTATAAGTTTATAAAAGAAAGCTCTACATTACTGGAGGGCAGAATTAGGAGACTCCAGAAAAGCATCCTCGTGCAGAAATACTTTCTCCTGTACTATGCTATTTTCTGTAGTCCTCTCTAGGGTATATAGTGACCAACTGACAAGAAGACAATGAAATACTCTTGTTGGTGATACTCATCAAACCCTGCGGTACCGAGTTTTCACCTCTCTAACTGCCATCAACACCACGTTAATCCCTGTGTTCATGAGCGCGTCCTCTGCGCTGAAGTCCCCCAAATCAGTGGCTCAAATAATCTATGAGCTTGTTTCTTGCATGCCCCAGTCCACTTATCGGTGGGCATCGCTAGCAGAACAGCTCGGCCATTCTCAGCATTTGACTTCCATCTCTGTGCCCAAGGCAACTTTTCCACCTGGCCGTTTTCTAGTGCGTAGGAAGACAGCACAGAGCCAGGGCGCACACAGCCAAACCGGGCCGGCCGCGTAGCTCCTACACAATGCTGTGTCATTCTGAAAGTCGGCGCCCAGGAATTGTGCAACACAACTGTCATGTAACTCAGAGGTGGAAGGGAGTGGGTATCTGAAGCTGGCCATGATGCCTAATGAATCAACGCGTGTGCCATGGCCACACTCCGAATGTGTACACAGTGAATGTGCCCTGTGACCCGCATCAAGACGGAGAATGCTGCGGGAGCTTCTCATACCCTTCCCAGGCAGAACTCCCCGATCCACAGACAGCCTCCGCTCCGGTTTGTATCGCCCTTTGGAATTTTATACAAAGTGAAATCACATCACAGTCCTCCTTTGTGTGCAGCTTTTTTCCCACTTGACTTTAATGCATGTTTCTGCCTAAGTCTTGGTTTCTTCTTCGGCGCCGTTTAGTGGCCCTATTGTGTGGCTACATGAAGAGATTATTCATTGTGTCGTTGATGGGCATTTGACTCAGTTCTTCTTCGGAGCTTAAACAACTAATGCTGGCAGCAATATTTTGCACTTGTCTTTTGTTGGGAGGCATGAGGCACATCTTTTGCATATATACCTACGAGTGCAGTTTCTACGCCTTAGTTTAGGCTCATGCTTAGCTTTAGCAGACACTGCTGAGTAGTTTTCCAAATGTGCTCTATAGTTTTTCTCTCTCTTTAGCACTGTATGAAAATTCCTGTTGTTCAGGACCTTGGTGGCCATTGGTGGATTTTTTGTTTTGTTTTGTTTTTAACTTTAACCGTGCTGTGAGTGTGTAGTACTATCTCCCACGGTTTTAAATTGAATTTTCTCCATGTCAGTAATCTGAGCATCTTTTGATTATATATTTGTGAAGTCCTTTGCCAAGTCCTTTGCCAGCCTCCTGCCTCCAGTTAGATGCAGACAAGTGCCCTGATGGGAAACAAAGCTCTCAGGAGATGTGGAGGACCCTTTGGGCTCCTTTTTCTCTTGGATCTTGGCCTGTTGAGTCCTCGGTTGCCTCCCTGCTCTCCCGGCCTTCACACAGGTGTCCTTCAGTCTCACTTGTCCAGCGGTTTCGGTGGCACTGTGGTCTACTGCAAGCGTCTCTGTTATTAAGGGAAAGCAGGAATCCTCGTAATGAATACTTTGGGTGAGGATTCATTTGTTCTTAAAAATAAGTGACTGGAATCTCTTAAGCTGCAATTCAATTTAGGAATCAAAACTGAAGCTGAGGCATTTTTTTAAGTAATAAGTTTCTTCCTGATATTTGACTGCCTACTCTGTGCTGGGCCAGTGCTCTGCAGAGATATTCACGGCTTCAGCAGTGCTGCCAGGAGTGGCGTGCGCTGTGCCTTTTCTCAGACTGGTGTCACACTCCTGAAAGGGGAGGCTTTGTGATTCTGAAATACCAGAAACCCCCTTGTAAGAGTCCTGTGCTGAGATCCACTGATGCTTTTTTCACATAAGATTTATTTGCTTATGTGAGGTTTGCACCAAAAGAATAAAAAGTCAGGAGAAAGATATTTTCAGAGGAATATGTCTATACAAATGCTATCTGGAAATTCATTCACTGAATTGCCTTTGATTTACTCCTCAAGCATTGTATCAAGCAGTTAATCCAAAAGTCCGAATAGTCCTGCCTTTTGTATAGGTTGGCGACTCTTTGTAAGATGTAGTTGCCAACAGTGGCATGCAGCGATGAATCCTAGAATTAGATGAACGCAGCGGCGAACTTCGCCTCCAAACTCAGGACTGTGTCTGCAGGCCTGCGGGCCTGATCTTCCTGCCCAGCTGATCCTAACTGTGGCTCTGCCTGGGAAGTATTCAGAGAGCTAGTTGGAAACTGACTGTGTAGGAAGAACTGGGTTTAACTAGAATAAAAGGGAAAAGACTGATTCTGAGCAATGTATTTAGTCACCTCTCCACTGGTTTTCAACATGTTGAGCGTCTTTCCAGTGTTGACTGGCATGAGGGATCTTTATTGGCATTCACTCCAACAAACATCTGCTTGGGTTTCAGAAGCATTGTATGGAATGTCTGTTACACGCATCACCTTGTGCTGTCTGTGGAGGATACACAGATTAAGACAATCTGTATCCTTAAGCAACTGCTAATCTGGTTGGAGAAAAAGACACATAAAAATAATTCAAGCACACGGCAGGTGTGGCAGTGCACACCTGCAATGCCAGTGCTCATGTGGCTGAGGCAGGAGGATCATCAGGAGTTTGAGGCCAGCCTGGGCAACATAGTGAGTTCAAGGCCATCCTGAACTACATATAAAGACCCTGTCTCAAGAAAATGAGATAAATATGTAATTGAAGCATAATGTCCATCTTTAAGACAGGAGCCACATAGGAGAGAGGAGACGCACGGTTCAGAAACGTCCTTGTAATTGCCTATGCTGGGAATTGTCATTTTTCAGTTACTACAGTAGTTGATAATCCCGAGGTGTGCAGATACCTGGGGTGCTCGCGGGTTCAGAATCTGCCCTTCTTAGAGTCTGCATTCATGACTTCAAAGTCAATCTGTTTGTTCTTGGCCTTTAATATATAAAAGGTGGGTTAACATTAATTTATAGCTTGATTAACAATAAGTTTACCTGGTCCAGAGTATCCATTCTGGAAATATCACTAATAATACAGAACTGGGTAAAATTTCATCATTACGCTCAATATTGATATCTTCCACAATTAATAGGAAGCTTTTACAGAATACCTCTCTCTGGAGGGAATGCTGGGAGGAAGTAATTAAATGAATGCAGAGGAAGGCTTTGAGCTCCTCTGGTTGGTAGCCTGACAAGTCACTGGGGATGCTCGGGCCCCTAAGTGAGGGGACTGCAGGCGACAAAAGAATAATGTAAAAAGAGCAAGGAGTAGAGAACGAACTATAGTTTATTATCTGGGAGCCGGGAATTGATCGTTAGCTCTCTCCTGGCTAAAGACCTCCTGGTCTCACCTCCGGCCTGGCTAACAGCATGCGCTCTGGATTCGTCAGTATTTGTGACTATACAACATAGTGGGGGCATGAGGCAGATGCAGGGAACAGCAGAGCTAATGCACTCATGAACCAGGTTCTAAAAGGGGAGGAGCAGTGTGTCCTTGTGAGGGACAGGCCACAGTTAACAAGGCACCTGCGCTATCCTTCAGGCCATAGCTAACGAGGCACCTGTGTTACCTTGGCTAACGTTTGATGGTGGAGAACGGCTCCAAGGGTCCTGGCTCCTCAGCGGCAGCGTCTCCTTGCTGTAGAGACGTCACAGCCTCGTGGATCTCTGAGCCCTCAGTTGTGACCATGGGCACAGGGAAGTCTGTCTCCAACACCAGCCGAGGGTCAGTTAGCAGCTCACGTTTAGGCCTGGGAGTGACGCAGAATGCTAATTAATAGCCACATTAAAAGCCAAATCAATCCTATCCTAAGCCTGCCCAGTGCGGTTTCAAGCTGGTCTCCTGCATTAGCTCACTTATCACAAAGAACAGCAAAGGGTTCCAAGACATTTGTGGTGTCCTCACCCAGGCACCTGCTTGCACTGATGACCAGAGAAGTGACTTCACACTTGGATAGCAGCTGTTACATGCTGTCCGTGTGACCTTGGGGTGCTCTGACAGTGCTTAAATCCAACTCCTCAATTTGTGAAATGCTGCTGCTTCTGTACTTCCTGTCTCAAAGGATCCAATCTAGCATGAAAGCTACTTGATGCACTGTGAAGTTATGCATAAAAGTTAAGTGGTTTGACCTCAACTGAAATTCAGTGATCGTGTTCAGTAATCTATGATGCATTATCTATAATGCATTTGCGGAAAGAAACCAGATTATGCAAATTTGTGATTTTCGATGCTTAATTAGGAAAGAATTCCA